CCTCACCACCTCACCACCTCACCACCTCACCACCTCACCACCCAACCACCCACTACTAGATAGCCTCCATACGAGGGACCTCATAGATAGATACTCACCACTCACCACTCGCCAATTGACCGACGAACCAACAACCTAAATGGCGGCACTGACTGCATCTGACAGTCAAATCTGCACCACATCTCGATCAAAGGCTTCACTTTGTCTTCTTCACCTTCTCCTCGGGTCGTTTTGCATTTCGAGACAACTTGGAACCTTCTTGATCTTTGCTTCTCTATCAAAAACGTTACCTAGCCAAAACAGCAAATCACCACGACCACTCTCTATCAAGCAGATTCGAGTATGAGAACCCGGCCAATGTCCCATGCAACCCGTCTTTTCTCGCTTCCGGCTATCCTTCCATCGATCGTGCCGTCGATAACTACATGCCTCGCTATGGATCAATGAGTTGCTAAACCAGAATTGAATGGCAAGAAAGCAAAACAAACCAATAGCGCTCCGTCCTAATGAGTTCCTGTCGCCTTTGCTCTTCATGTCATAAAAGTCCATGCAATAGAAGTAGTTTTTCGTCACAAGTCGAATTCTCCTCCTCCCAGTCTTGCACAAATGGTGCTTATCCGCTATTGCCGTCGCCATCGCCGTCGCCATCGCCATTGCCCTTGCCACCGCCGTCGCCGTTGAGACAGTCCTCCATTTCCCTCAGAGAAACCATGTTCCACCTCAATCACCAAGCAAAATGCCGAATCCACGAGTTTCTCCCTCCGTAATGTCAGCTTCACTCCGTCCATGCAAAATAAAAATCGCTTCGATAATGACAGTGAGTACATTGTGCTAGAAATTTGCCTGCCCTTCGTCTGGTTCCTGTGGTTCCCTTCCAGATCGCCAACCTTTGCTGCCTAGATCAAATCCGGGGATAAAGAAAAGAAAACGCCAATTCGCTTGCCCGCCTGCTTATTGTCTGCTAAAAGGGGAATCTTTGTGCTCGAAAATCAATCAACGACAATCTCGCCATTTCGACTCAACCAAAATTCCCGTAAGCACGCGCGCCCATGTCCAGGTCTCATGTTGAACAGAGGGATGCTGGCCCGTAAAGCAGTTCAATACCACACCTATGCTAACCTTTCCGCCATGCCGAGTCGTGTTATTCGCCCATGGCCCTGGCACTCTCGCCTCTTTCACCGCCCGAGCATGTAGTCGGGATACATGCCCCCAACTGCTCCCGGTCCCGGTGCCCCACTGTTCATCGGCATCCCTCGCAGGTTCGGCGCCGGGCCGTTTGCCAGCGGGAATCCTTGATTCACAAATGTTCCCGGAGGAACGCCAACACCGTTCATCGCAGCCATGGACATGTTGAGTCCTGGCGGGGCTGATAGACCTGGCGGCGGTCCGCTGGCCGTCGAAAAGCTACCAGGCGTGACATTGCTGAATCCGTTCACGCCCATCGGCCCAGTCACGCTGAGAGGCGTGCTTGGATTGTTGCTCCCGGGTTGACCCGCACGGACTCCCAGCGGATTCTTCGAGAAGCTCAACCGGATTCCCCCTTTGACACTGTTGTGGAGCTGCGCCCCGTACAGTTCATTTAGAGCCTTGGTTGCGAACGAAATGTCTTCAAACTCCACAAAACACATGGGCCCGTTCTGTTTGGTTCGGAAGCACAATCTTTTGTACCCGCGCTGCTTGGAAAACATGGCTTTGAGCTCATCCTCCGATGTGTCAATGGGCAAGTTCCCCACATACAAAGTATTACAGGGCGGATTTTGATCGGCAGGGTTGACCGGGGGATAGTTATGTCGTAGGTAAGGTTGAGAAGGAATCGAGTAAGGCCCGTTTGGTCCCATGATAGGAAACTGTGCGTGAGGAGTTCGAGACCCCACCGCAGACCGAGGAGATGCGTAATTGGACGCTGCGCCGTTGCCAATATTGGTATTCAGGGAGAGCGCCGAGAACGCGGCAGGAGGCATATGGGGGTTTGTCGGCTTCTTGCCTGTGGTGCTGGTTGAGGAGTTATTCATATACGCCAAGGGATCCTTGAGTAACTCGCCCGTATCGTCATCTGCGCCATCTTCATTGATCACCTTCTTCCCGCTGGCTCGAGGGCGATCTACCATGGCGCTCGGCACCGGGGACTTCGGCGAAAAGATGGTCTGCAGTTGGGAACTGGTGTCCGGCGACACAAGTTCCGGCGGAGACCCGACAGGCGGCGGAGATGTTGTCTTGTCCATGGACTGGAAGGTGCCGTTGAACCGTGAGGACTTCTGAGCGTTGGCCATGGATGGAGACATCGACTGACCTATTTTGCGGCCAGCTAGGGGATCGATGGTGTTGCGCCGGGGTACCGCTGCCATGGATGGGCTTCTGATCATCTCCACAATCATTTTGGCCTGCCCAGCGGTGTTAGGCTTGCCATCAAGCATGGTTTGCGCTTCAGTTGCCCCGGCCATGGAGCCGAATCGAGCCACCGCGGTGGTGAAGCCAACATCCTCTTCATACTCATTCGGGATGATCTCGGTGTCTTGTAAATCTTTGGCAAATAAAAGCATCGTACGGACTGCCTCGAGAGTGGTATTTCGCGGCAGACGCCGCAACATAACGGTCGGAAGAGCCATGAGCGCGGCTTCATTCGCACTCGACATGCGCCTATCTGCAGCCGCACCTTCGAAACCTGAAGGATACGTAGGCATTGTATATGAGTCCGACAAATTGGGCTGCAGTCGAGGCTCTGGGAAACTGAATGCAACCACACTCATTCTTTGAAGAGCGAGGAAAACAGAGGGAGCCGGATCTTCGCCTACCACAAACCCCGAGCTGAACTGTAAACGGCAAGGAGTCTCCTTTGACGTGCAATGTCAAAGTGAACCAAGGGCAAACCACTTTGCTTTCAGCGAAATTGGTTGAGTGTCATGCAATTACGCATTCAGGACAGACGCGGTGTCGCCGTTCCTGCAGATTCAGGATGTACCGATTGCGAGGACCGAGTTGATACCCCAAGTACTGTCCAAGAGACCGTATACGGGAGTGACAGATTCCGGACTCGGTGGGGAAGTATTGGTGCCAGAGCCTGAAGGGATAAGTCCGAGTGATGCTTATGAACCTGAAACAGTGATAGCAACAGCTTGGGTGGTCCCCGGCAAAAATGGGTGAAATGGTTATCAATCTCGAAGATGATGTGACAAGTACCAGCGAGTACTATGTAGGACGGTGCTCAAAGGTCGCAAAAGGAGTATCCACCGATCGGTCGATTGTGCTTGGACTGTCGCAAAGCGAATTCGCCCGTTGACGGGAGAGCGAGACAATGGAGTGTAAAGCAAGTCAAAAATGATGACAATATTCTGAGCGTGTAGAGACAAGGTGCTGGAGGGTGTGTGAGGACAGGAGGGCGGGAATTGGGACGGGGGGAGCAGTTTCAGTCGAAAAAGGGCTGAGGATTGCAAGGAAGTTGAGGAAGATGCAGAGGTGGGATAGCGATTCTAACGACGCGGAATCTTTTGGCGGCGTCGACTGGCCCTGTCGATAGGGAGCGATAAAGAACGGCTAGGCCTGGGGAGACAGTGTTTGGCAGACGCCAGGATGATCAATCGTGCCAATCCGACACCGTGGTGGCTTGCAGATGGGCTCCAAGACGCCTCACACCAAGCTGGAGGCGCAGGGTGGGCAGGAGTGAGATACAAATCGCGATCGCGCGGCGACCGGGTGGTGGGGATGGAGCCGGGCAGTAGGGCCTGGCATGCACCACGCTAAACAGGCCGCATGGCCAGGGTGCTGAGTGGTGGACGCCGAGAGAGGGGGGTTGGCAGCTGATATTGGTCCTGTCCAGACATGTAAGCTTCCAGTGTCCACCACGAGCAGAGATAAACGCGGAGAGATGATCAGTGGGTACCGGTTAGGGACTTTCAGCACACGTACGCACAAGCAAGACACACGGGACCGTTCGCTTGGAGGATCTGGGAGTCGGTCAAACAGAAACGAGTTCGGATAAGGCTGTCAGAATGCAGGCGAGAAGAAGGATTGGAGATCCGGTGCTTTGGCCACGGCTTCGTGGATGGCGTGAATTTAATGAAGCTGTCGCAAACTTTGGTGTATCTGGACCAAATGATCCTTACCGGAGTTGGTCGCGGTTGGACATGGGGGTGGGCGCCTTCGAAAGAAAAGAGGGATGCCGTTTAACTCGGGACCAAGCCGTCGGTGGTCGTAGGATCACGTATCCGGCTGGCGAGTTGAATGTTGCTAGGACTCGGTCTTTGTGGGAGCCAGTGTTGCGTCCCAAAGATCTGGTGGAGAGTTTTGGAGAGGATTTACCTAGGTAGGACTG